GAACATTACATAAAATTCAGTTTCACTCTCTACAGAAGCTGATACACCTAAATATTTCCAGCATGTTTTGGTTTTCTTTCAAGTCCAAAGGCTACTTTTACACCAGTTGACTGTGTGTGCAAAGATAGGCAGAATGTGGCACCTTGACTTTGTTAAATCTTGTTCTTTACGATGCATCTTGAAAGTACCTTGTTTTTATTCAAATTCAACTTCAACCAAAAAGTGTTAAAATATAAGTTAGTGAACACTTGACTACAAAATAAAAATGCATTTACACTATACACATTTGATTTTTCAGCTAATCCTAAAAGTGGAGGTTAAATTCTTCTCTTGAGTGTCATTATTTTGCTCCAGACACAAGTCATGTCTTGCTCCAGATTCAACCACCAGTTTACACTAGCATCAATGTACAGTGCATTGTCAAGGCTAAAGACAAATTTTTTCAGTCAAACTACAGACAAGGATCCTACAGCAAAGTTACATATCAACAGAGGGGCAATCACTTTCCAAAATAATTGCAATGTAACAGGAACTATACAAGTGCATTTTGGATAGCTTCACAAAGAGCTGGCATAGACACAACAGGCTGAAAGACCTCCTTTTTGTGCAGGAGCATTATATGCTCTTGGAGAGCTCCTTTTGCCTGGAGAACAATTGCAATGATTATTTCTAATACATTAATTGCATGTTTTAAAAATAATGTAAAACAGTTTCACCATTACATTTTCCCCAAAATCAATGCTTGATCCTACCAAGTGTTTTTATGGAGAAACAAACACATTAAACAAGTTTTTATACAATTTATGTTTAGGACTTTTTCTGAGTTCCTTTGGAAATGCTGCATTATATACATTAGCACACTCAATTCAGAGCTACTGAGGCAAATTCTGAATGCAAGATTAACAGCAAAGACTCCTATAAATTTTTCTTCACATCATCTTTGAAGAAACAGTTGTTCTTAATTGGATCATTCAGAAAGTCTTTGAAATATGGAGTTTAATAGGCAATGAACACACCATTAAGTAATCATGAAGTATGACTTTAGGCTGTTATGGTGCAGTGGTAGTGTTCCTACCTTTGGGACAAATGGTGCAGATACAATCCGACCGAAGGTGCGTCATAATGTGTCTGAACATGTTGACCAAAATATCTAAATATAACCAGTGAGGTCAAACCAGGTCTTCAATTTTATTTGCATACACTCATGAACAATGCATAGTTTGTAACAACTGCTGCCCATTTAAGAATTTCATCAATTTCCAAATTAATTAGCAGCAAAAATAAACGACATAGAAAGTCTTAATAAATAAAACCTCTGCATATTGACTGATGTGGTAATTCCTTTTAATAAAAGACGCAATTTGCTTAAATATAGAATTACTTACTTTTGTGATAAGAATTCTATAGTCTTCTACCATCTGGTCATTGTTATGGCATCCTGCAAGTAGTTGCCAAACTTCACCCCGTAGAGCCTCAGGGACTCCACTTCTTACTAAAGTAGACAGTGGCTTCGGTCTTACACTCAGGTTCAGATGCCTGCATATAATTTCGAATGAAACGACAAGTAATGCACTGTTCCTCAAAACTGTTCACTCAGAACATGCTAACATAAAAATATTGACAGCAATTTTACTTAGTTCGATCAAAAACATTTTATTTTTCATAAGGTACTGTAATTAACTGCATGCTTAAACACAGGAAAATTACTGCTCTTTCAAACAATATCTGCAAGTGCACCAAACACCATTATGACCAGTACCCTCAACAAATGGTGCTTCAGTCTGTTTAACAGAAGTGATGTAAGATGAGTGATTTATACACATTTTAATATTATTTATTTTAAGGTTTGGATTTTGAACTAGTGACAAGTGTTTTTTGATCTGTGTATGAGCAGCTTTAACGATTAACTTGCCAGCATTTCTGGAGCTATGATTTGTTTAGAAAAAAAAACACAATTTCAGAGAGAGAGACAGACAGACAGACAGACAGAGCGTCCCTGGGATGATGTTGGTGACTTGTTTGCATTGGGAGAATTATCAGCAGGCAGAGTAAACATTAAGGCACATTTGATTGCTTAGGGGAAAAACCTCAGTTTAGAAAATTTTTGGCTTTCAGTTTTAAAGTCCTAGTGGAATTTAGATCTATGAGACAGTTTTCCTTAAAAGGAAGAGGTTACCTAAGTTTAAGGATTCAATTCCAAAGCAGTGATTGGTTAGAACCCAGAAGTTATTCAAGGTTGAGAAAAAATCAAACCACAGTTGTGAGACTAATCAAGAAAGAGGCTACTAAGGTCTAAAGGCCAGTAATTCAAAGGTGCGATAGAGAAGCAAACTATCTCCGGTGTTTGAGTACTATCGTGTGCTGGTGTTAGGATAGATAAGATTGCATTTGCACTGTATTCAAAACACCTTTCAAAAAAATGTTACATGCAAATAGCTTGATTTATTCCATTTTATTTTCTGTTCTTTCAATAGTAGACTTGTTTTATACCTAAAACCATACCTGCAGTATTGTGTGTTTTGTTTCAGCGAAAGACTACCTTGTTAAATTAAAAGATAGGGCATGATCTATTAAACCAGATTTCAGTCTGGGATTTCTCTGGTCCAGTAATAAATTCAGCCTGAACCACAAGAGTTAGGATATTTTCGTAAGACTATGATGATAATGCACATAATGTAACTGGCAACCAGGCAAAGCATCTTACTGATACATAACTTTTTTGGGTGGAGTTTATATTTCAGCAAATTTATCAATTTATAGCGATATGTAGGGCATTTGCCCTGTCCAAGCCAGAAGGCCCAGGAACAAGTTCCACCTCCACTAAAGTAACCTCATAACATGTCTGAACAGGTTGATTAAAAATGACTTTATAGGTAGCCAATGTAGTGTGACATAGCATTCGAGAGAGTGCACTTTTACTATAGAGTATCAGAACTAAGTCTCTCAAGTTAAGTAATGGAAGGGATGAGGTGATTGGCTGCTTTCACCTAAACAAAGGAGCTGATTGGAAATTAGGATCGGTGAACATTTCTAGTGTTTGAAGTAAAAGTTTGGTCTATAGTTTATGTTTAGATCACTAGTCTTTTGTTTCTGTCCTACTGCTAAATCCCTCATCCACGTCTTTGTTACTTCAAGATTCCACTATGGTGATGCACTCCTGGCTGACCCCCATATTCTACCCTCCACAAACTTGAAGTTTGTGATCCAAATCTCTGTAGGATGTGTTCTTAACTTGCACCTAGTATCATACACTTATCAACTTTGTGCCCCCGACCTACACTAACTCTCCACCAAGCAATGCCTTATTTACAAATCTTCCCATGACCTCACCCTTCCCTATATCTATAATCTCCTCCAGCCACACAGAATCCCTGCACTGTGGAAGCAGGCCATTTGGCCCATCAAGTCCACACCGACCCTCCAAAGAGCATTCCACCCAGATGCACCCCCCTACCCAATAACCCTGCATTTTCCAAGGCTAATCCACCTAGCCTGCACATCCCTGGACACTATGGACAATTTAGCTTGGCCAATTCACCTAACCTGCACATCTTTGGATGTGGGAGGAAACTAGAGCACCTGGAGGAAACCCATGCAGACATGGGGAGAATGTGCAAACTTCACACAGACAGTTGCCCAAGGGTGGAAAAGAACCCAGAATTGGCGCTGAGGCAGCAGTGCTAACCAATGAGCCACCATGCCGCCAATGTAATTGTAATCCTTCAAGATATCAACAGTTATCTAATTCTGGCCCTCTTCAGTGGCTTTGATTTTAATTGCTTGACCATTCATGGCCAAGCCTGCAGCTGCTTAGACCTTGAAGCCTAGAAATATCATTACCTCTCAATCTATTTCTTCTTTCAGAACGCTCTTTAAGAATCTCTGACAAACTTTTTGGTGATCTGTCCCAATATCACTATGTCCTTCGGTGTCAAATTTTACTTTCTGCCACACCCATAAAGAATCTAGATATACTGTATCACAATAAGAACACGTATAAATGCAAATTATTTGCATTCTTCTTTTAAATTGTGGAATTTTGTGTGCATATAAAAGCTGCTACGTAAATATGCTTACAATCAA